CACACACACACAAACACACACACACAAATACAAGCACACACACAGACACACACATACACACGCAAACATGCACACACACACACTCACGCACACACACACACACACTCACTCACACACACACACACACACACACACACACCTGTACATAGGAACAAACAAACACGCGCGCGCGTCTGCACTCACACACTTTGATGTGGAAGCTAAAAATGTTGAAGTTAAGAAGCGAAGTGCCTCCGTTGAATTAGAGAAATTCTTCTAGCATTTGTTTTGGGCCCGCCCCCGCTTTTTCTCCTCACAATTTGCACTAATAAACTTAAAACAAATAAACTAAAGAACCAATAACAATAGCTGAAAAAAACCCCAGCCACCACAAATCCGAAAGCAAACAAAAAGTAGCCCCTTCGGAACAAAAGCAGCGAAAAACAAAGGAAACGGCGGACAGTTACAGAATTTCAGAACAAAAGGATGGAGAGGCGAAGCATCATAACTTCTCTCAGCTGGTGGCTTTTAAAGTTAGTTTTGAATTGCGGCTGGCGATTGTTCATGTGGCTAAAACAGCCAGCACGAGGTCACAAGATATGGTTCAAGTAAACATTAGCTCGGGGGGCATACCTCTCAGAATGTTTGTGACGGTTTGATTTTATCCAGGTTCTCTCACGCTATTCTAGTACTTTGACCTCCCGACACAAACCTTCTCAAAGACACTCACTACGTGTTTTCACGATTTTGTATTGGCCCACGGGCTATTCTTTTAGGGGTTAAATATTACGGACGAAAAAGATAAGACAGTTGACAGAAGATGGAAGAAATACTTTGGCATTGGCAAAAAGATGTAGAAGTTATGATCGTAGAGACTAACTTATTATGAACTTTTCCTTTCCTAGTGTTGGCTTGCCGACAGAGACGGGACATCTTTCAATATTTTGAAATATTTGGAAGTAGGGCTGTAAAACAGAGGATAGACAAACCAAAGGAACACCATTTTTAGCATTGTAGTTGTAATTGTTTCACGCCTCCAGTGACACAAATTGCGTCATTTAGAAGGCGGGCTGTTTTGATCTCATCTGTTAGTCAGGGCCAATCCTTGTTGAGAAGGAGACAATACCCCGCAGCCAGGTGGAGTTACTTGATATAAATTATCTACTCTTTACCAAGCCATAGCAACCAACTGTTTTAAAATAAAAAACAAAACAAAAACGAAAGTAGGAGTTTTTACGCCTTGTAGATACAATTTAGGTTACTTAGGAGGAGGGCTTCCGACCCTGCCTGCCGGTCGGAGTCAACCCGGCCTGAGACGGATACAACATCCCATCAGAAAATCAGAAATACCGGGATACTTGATAAAACTTCACGCCACACGGGAATCGAACTAGCGTCTCCTGAGTGCGACAGCCAATCTCCTAAATGCTACACCACAGACGCCGGTAGCTGTTCATAGATACCTGGCATCTGATACAAATGATATTAACGACCAACGCTTAAAATACTCACCATTTTAGCTTGTGCAATATTCAAGTCGAAACTACTGCAAAATCCTCGTATACTTTCCTCCCTGTGGACAAAAAATAGAAGATTAATGGGGGGAAAACTCAAACCATTTCATACAGTTTTTAAAAAAGTCACTACCGATTTCATTTGCTACTTCAGCAATGAATGTGTTATTGTGCGCTCTAATGCGTTATGGTCCATAACTATCTTTTCATTGTTTATTCAAGTAAAGAATGATATTAATATGCTGATTCTTTAAAAAAAAAAAAGAGTGGTCTTTTGAATTGCGTGGCGCCACCATTTTTTTTTCGATAAACGGCATTCTCGCTAATGTCGCAAACTCCCCGCGATGAGTAAAGGATTTTTTTCATCGACATTTCTTTTCAATTTGTCGCTACTTTCCTTTTGCAACTTGTTAGGGACAAATTATACAGTCTAATTCTCTGCCGTCTTAAAGACGGGAAAAAATCATCCATAAACGTCAAGTTAAAAGTCCAACTCTTCATCTTTAGTTATACTGGTCTGAACATAAATATACTGTATTAATCACTTCACTGCCGGACCAGAGAACTGAGTAGTGGAGCATGTCTACGAGAAAAGGCGCATTCCTGTTTTTCATGAATCCCAGTTTATTAGACATACTAATTCATTGAAGGCTACCTTTTTGTTTGATTGAGTGGTTTGGTCACGTTGTTGTTCACTCTCAGCCATCAACACTATCGACCCTACAATGTAAGAGACAGTGAGCTCATCTCGCGGTGACCTTTGTGTTTACAAAACACTGCCCTCCCCTTCACACTCTCACAATCTTAGTTTATTTTTCTCTCAGCCACTCGAACTTGGTGGATTGGATGAAGGAAATCTAATTACCTACTTTTAGAGATAAAAAAACCCCCATCTAGATATGTAGAAATAAGACTAGAAAGTGAACAGATGACAAGATGCTTACCTATTATTGTTAAGATTGCCTTCTATCAACAAGCACCTGTGTTGTGTCGCAAAGTACAGTCATTTGGAATTAGGCTCGTGGGATTTGGCACGGCGTATGCAAATGAACAAAATCCGTAACATTAACAAATTTGCTCTTTTTCAATTATTTTTGGGGGGTTACAAAACCCATCTGATGAAAGGCAACTAAGCTTCTCTTATGTCACCAGAAAGGCAAACGCGAACAGCATTTTTGTCCTCCCAAAAGAGCATTCGAATCCAAATAGAAATGCAAATATTTAAAATACATATCAAGTTCACGCGTACCGGTTTAAGTATAAACGAGTCCATTAAATACCCATCCCACCTCTTGGACTACTTTGCATTAAATCGCTTGTCATTTTCCTTGACTAGTCTGCCCTTTCGCTGTAATATTATAGTGACAGACCACAGGATGCGTATATTTGGGAGTGGCTTTATATTTGTCATGTTCACGGGAAGATTTTTTTTCTGTATTTTTGTGAATAATTGTTGGCAATTCGGAGATAGCAAAACAAGATTATACGAAGTCATGATATGTCCATGTCAATATTGCCCTTACCAGATTTACTCGTAAATGAACGCAGGGCACCACCAAGCAACTCTAGTCCAACAACCCTTATAATTCTGCAGTTAAAAGAAAACAAATGAATTTGCAGGTTTAGGATGTTGTGAGTTCCGATGGTCTTCTTTGCCTTCGTGTTACCCGTTATGTCTAATTTCTCACACATTAATACAATTCCAGTGTCGGATTTCTATGTCTTAAACTCACTATAGTGACACCATTCATAACAAATTATGCGATACGTATGCCTTTAACTAAGTTATAACACTTTTCAATGCAGACACAGGCGTACGTATTGTACAGTATGTAAACCTCTCAGTGTAGACGCTTTAATTTATGTAGTAATATTCAGATCTCTGTATGATGTACAAGCACTGTATCTAAGGCACTAAATCCAATAATTTAGAAGAGTGAATTCAGCAAGCATGCCTATTAGATAAATAATTATAATCCTCTAATATCACTCCGTCGTAACCTTCTCAGCTTCTGCATAAGACGTCAAAGCAAACTTAACTGTTTCTTGTACCGGTGAGCTTAATTTAGTGTTTCTAATTTGATTTAAAAAAATCGTAGTTCGATACCTTGTTATACAGGCATTTGGATAGGGGGTGATTGGAGAATTTGACAAATAATATTATTAATGCCAGGTGTGCAGAATTTCAATTTTCTTCTCTTTTTATTTCACAGAAGGTTTCTATACAGATTATCATACATGTGATGCACAGGGCATATCTATTATCTTACAAACAGGCTTTCACACTATTTCGCAATCCCTAGTCCGTTTCCGCAAAGTCATCCCCACATTCCGTTATCAGGTTTTCCCCATGAGCTTGTTTAATACTCAGTATTAGTCTAGACTGTTTAGTTTATGAAACTGTCAGATCAGCCGATTTTTCTGCAGTACATCAAATAATTTGGTGGAAGCCAATTCTATTTTTAGCCAATTGACAATAGCCTGCAGTTGAGCTAAACTGAATTACTGAAGCTCCCACTATGAATACTTTCAGATTCAGGACCACCCCTCACAAGCCACTCTCTTTCTCTAACCGCCCCCCCCCCCCCACACACACACACAACGATTTCCTTTTTAACTTGTTCCCATTCTCCCATTCGTGCTTCCATGCGTATGTGTGTGTGTGTGTGTGTGTGTGTGTGTGTGTGTGTGTGTGTGTGTGTGTGTGTGTTTCTCTCTGTTTGTGTAGGAGTGTGTGTGTGTGTGTGAGTGTGTGAACGTAAGTGAGACTGCATGTGCGTGTGTGAGTGCGTGAACGTATGAAAATGCATGTGCGTGTGTATGTGAACGTATATATGGGAATACATGTGCGTGTGTGCACGTGTATATAAGCGAGAGTGTATGTGCGTGTGTTTGTGTGTGTGTGTGTGTGTGTGTGTGTGTGTGTTTGTGTGTGTGTGTGTGTGTGTGTGTGTGTGTGTTTGCGCGTATCCAAGTGAGTGTATGTGTGATCGTGTTTGCCCGTGTTTGGGAATCTGTGTATACGTGTAACTATGAGTGAGTGTGTGCGCACGCACGCACGCGCCCGCATTTGTGCGCATGATTCTATACACACTCTACGCGCATTTCAACACCTACCAGCGAGAGGTGCCACAGGTGAGAACCAGGTATGTGGTGCTGTTGTCGCGGCAGATGGTGGAGAGGAGGACCGATGACACCTCCATTGTCACAGACGTCAGTGTGTCCTCGCATGGGCCTGATGGAGTCTGAAGGAAATGCAAAGAAGGTCAGCAAAGATGCGACTGACTAACGCTTGGTTAAAGTTCATAATAAAAATTGTTTTTCCCCACCGCATATAATATTTAAAAAAAATTTATTTCATAATTGGAAGTCAAATTCTTTGTGACATTTATGACGACACTGTTTTTCAATCTGTTCTTTTTGGAACTATCTTAACAATACGTCATTGTTAATTGTAGAGACAAATCTCTCCGTTTATCAGACATGTCTATTCAAACAATATTGATGAAATACCATACTTGGGGAAATGTACTTTTACATTTTTGTTGTTGTCTTTTTTTTTCTTCCACAAAAATTTGCCAAGGCTGGTTTTTAAAGTTCGATCTCCAGTAATCGTATCTCAGGCAACCGTCATCGTATAAGTAACATGAACGCGTCATATTATGCAGAATTTATTTAGCTTTACATTGGCGTACTGCATGAGTGGGTAGTGCGTGAATTTGACACGATATTCGGGTGTATACATTTTCCAAGTTTCTTTTTGAATGTGTACGTGCTCTCTTGAGTAGAACGAATTCATGAAATGTGAATCGTCTCACTAAGAAGACAGTGCGCATCAAACTTCGTCTTGCGGAAGTAGCCACAGGTAGAGAGGCTTGCAAAACTTCTGAAAAGGTGTCACGTTGCCCTTGCGAATTGCCACGAGCGTGCGTGTGTGTCTCGCCAAACAAGAAGCTGGCTTCAAACGGAACAGCCTCATTAGAAAGGGAAACTGGCAAATGTCTTCTTTGTTTGCTGTTTATTGGCCAAAACCTCCGAGTCCTATAATGGCTACTATTGTCCTGAGTAGAGGAAGACCCCGACTCTGTCGTGCGTGTTTGACTTGGCGTGAGGACAATTCGAATTTTCCTGGGTTTCTCCCGAGGCCCCGAAAAGAATGTTTGGTGACCCTCAAAGCCTGGGCGTGTTTGATAAAGCAGACATACTTGATGCTCACAGATAATATGACGTCCGAAGATTTAGAAGTGTGCTGGGATTGTTCGTTATTCCAGAACCGATTTTGATTATTCGCAGATATGACGTCAAAAGTTTAGAGGGGTGTTGGGATAGCTCGTTATTCCAGAACCCATTTTGATTGGTGAATGAATTCTCAACTCTCACGTAGATAGATAGATAGAGAGATAGATAGATAGATAGATAGATAGATAGATAGATAGATAGATAGATAGATAGATAGATAGATAGATAGATAGATAGATAGATAGATAGATAGATAAGAAGTAAAACTTACCAGTGGAATCAGCAAATCGTCTACAGAGAAAAAAATAGAGAATGACACAGAGTCGGAGAGAGACACACACACACACACACACAGAGAGAGAGAGAGAGAGAGAGAGAGAGAGAGAGAGAGAGAGAGAGAGAGAGAGAGAGAGAGAGAGAGAGAAAGAGACAGAGAGACAGAGAGACAGAAAGACAGAGAGACAGAGAGAGACAGAGACAGAGACACAGAGAGAGACAGACAGACAGAGACAGACAAGAAGACAGACAGAGAGAGAGAGATAGATAAATAGAGAGAGAGAGAGAGTGTGTGTGTGTGTGTGTGTGTGTGTATGTGTGTGTGTGTGTGTGTGTGTGTGTGTGTGTGTGTGCATGTGTATATGTGTGTATGTGTGTGTATGTATGTATGTGTGTGTGAGAGTGTATGTGTGTGATAGAGATAGAAATAGAAAGAGAAAGAGAGAGGTAGTGTGTGTGTGTGTGTGTGTGTGTGTGTGTGTGTGTGTGTGTGTGTGTGTGTGAGAGAGACAGAGAGAGAGAGAGAAAGAGAGCGATAGTTTGTGTGTGTGTGTGTGTGTATGTGTGTGTGTGTGTGTGTGTGTGTGTGTGTGTGTGTTTGTGAGTAAGTATGTGGGTGTGTGAGAGTGTATGTGTGTGATAGAGACAGAAAGAGAGATAGAAAGAGAGAGAAAGTAAGAGAAAGAGAAAGAGAGAGAGAGAGAGAGAGAGAGAGAGAGAGAGAGAGAGAGAGAGAGAGAGAGAAAGAGGGGGGGGGGGCGTACATTTAGACAACGTTCTGATATAGAAGTCTTAAGTGGCGTCGGTGGCCTAAATACTAAACTACTGGACTCCTAATAATCGTGAGATTGCGGGTTCGGGGATTCGAGCCTCAGATCGGTCCGACATTGTGTCCTTGGGAAAGGCAATTTACACGAATTCCACCTTTCAGAGATGAACACGCCTCTTAAATGACCTAACAGTGTTGATAGTGCGTTAAACCCATACCATTTCAACATTTTTGAAAGCTTTTTTCACAACAAGAATTTCAAGTTCAAGACCAGACTTCTCTCATGTCAAGCAAACAACAGGGAAACAATACCATAAGGACTGAGTGTCCCCGCATTGTAACCTTGTTTTTGACCTTGCTGAACAAGCTGATTAATGGCCACAGGCCGATCATTGTGGGGCTAGCTTGCGTGGAGAGTCCACAGGAATAAAAAATGAATATATGTACTCGAGCAAAACCAAGGTGAAGAGAGGAAATCGCCATTTGATCCGCTCCAATATATATTTGCTTTGAGAGCAAACGATGAACTCCATGGACAAGGTGTAATTGTTTCTTTTTTAAATGTAGGCGTTTTCACACCCCCATCGACACAACGTAGTTAGAAGGCGGGATTCGAACTTGCCTCTCAAGGCCAACCTGGGTTGAGAGGGACACAGCATCCCAGCAGAAAGACCGAGATACTCGATAAATATCTCCCCACACGAGAATCGAACTCGTGTCACCTGCTTGCGATGGCAAAATGCCAAACCGCTACACCTCAGACACTGGAAGGTGCAATGGTGTCAACGATGAAGCTCATCAACACCTTCATTGAAACTGTTTTTAAAAAAGGAGCTTGGCGTACTGAATTTTCTATTGAAAGTCTTTGCTCTGATAAGTGTAATCCAGTGAATTTGCTAAATCTGCTGGTTGACTTTCAAGGTGTAAGTGCCTGCAAGTGACTCTATTGCTGACAAGTTCGATTTCTTTACAGGAAAATGCTTTCTTTTCAAGCCTAGATTTTGAGACTACAATTCATGAAGCTTTAGAAGCACTTTTTACGGATTTAGATCAAAGCTTGCGATTTTCATCTCAACCAGAGCTTGCTGAGAGACATCGAAACACGACAGCTAAAGACAAAAGACAAGGAGGATGTGCCTGGGACTGGCAGTTAAAGCTTTTAAATGTTTTTCCGCAGAATATTTCTCCACATCCACTTAATATTGAAGTTTCTTTTTTGTTTTTGAGGAGGAGCATAAACATCAAATCACAATAAGTTATACACAAAGAAATAGACAAATCTCATGAACTTAGAGAGAAACACTGGTACTTCCACAAAGACATTAAAGTAGTTTTTGCTTACACTGAGTATCTCGTAACCAGATGTCGTCTATAAACAGATCGAAGCCCAGCAATCACATAGGACATCGGGTCAATATTCTAGACGTAAAGCTACAAGCTACTTTTTCAAATGATGTGCATAGAGAAGCGCCCAACATGTCTCCACCGATACTAGCAAACAAACAATGCTGTGTTGGACTATGGGCCGGAGAAAAGCACTATAGATTAAAAATAATATTTCCTCAATTAGGATACCTCTTCGTCATTGAATGCAATATCTCCTCCCTCAGCTATAATCCGCAGCAACACAATCGATTGAATTCAAATAATCTTTTTCTGCAGTTGGCGAAGACTAATTGAAAGTGCATAGTTTCTACAAGGACTGTTGAACATTTATAGTGATTTACGCTCTCTGTGGACACATTTTACAGTTATCAGAGGACGGCTGTATTAGTCTCTACAGTCTGTGGCTGCGCTTAGCAACAATTCAACAGTTGTAATCAATAATCGATGGCTATCACAACAATCGCTAAAAGCTAATAGTTCACAAATCGATATTTTAAATATGTACTGGACATGAAGAAGAAGATCACACACAGTGGGTTTACCATACGACGAGTGAAAGTTTGCAGTATTGAAACTTGTATCTTTTCTTTAACTAAAATGAAGTTGGTTCAGGTCTACTTCAGCCCTCATGTAGGAGGTAGCATAAACCTGTCTTTCGTACATGAAATCATGACTTACCCCCGCCCGACTTTCAACACACACACACACACACACACACACACACACACACACACACACACACACAAAGACAAACACATACAAACACACACATTTATGCAAAAAACGCACACACACACACACACATACATACGCACACATACACACACATAGGCACACACTTACACACACACACACACACACACACACACACATCCAAAAATAGTCTCTATGTCTGTTTTATCTGTATATCTGTCTGTTTATCCCACTGTCTGCTTGTCTGTCTGTAAGTCTGTTTATGCGCCAGTATCTCTCTCTCTCTATCTGTGTGTCCATCTCTCTCTCTCTATCTGTGTGTGTCTCTCTCTCTATCTCTATCTCCC